CTAACCATTTGGTTGAACGGAGGGGTATACCAAATGATTTTTCTTTTCCTGTTTTTTTTCTTTTGGGCAGTGCAATTGACTCTATAGTTAATGTTTGCATTTTTATAACCACTATTTTTTAGGGCAGCGTTATAGAAGCCATTGTGTTGTTGGAATATTTCTTTGTTAGCGGAGTTAATGCTAATTCTATTTTCTATTGATGAGGGTATATGTTTAATTATGGATGGAGGGTGGTTAGACTTCGGGTGTATATATAAGGGGTTAGCATTTGGTTTTCTATAAGGTTGGCATGTGTTGCTTGGTAAGTCTAGAGTTACGTCGAGGAAGTTTACCCTTTTCAAATTAGAAGAAACTGTTATCTTTAAATTTAGATTTTTAAATTCACTAAATATAATTTTTCTGATTTTCTCAATCTTAAAACTAGTAGAACTCAGCACTACCATGAGCCTGTCATCTCTATACAGTCCGATGTCCTTAATATCAATTTCGCGGTGTGCCGTTAAGTTGTACAGTATTAAAAGACCAACAAGGTCAGAAGCCCCTGTAGAGTCTAATGATCCCATAGTGATGTCAAACAGGTCGTTATTGTTTTTTATCCATTGGTCCCCATTATGAATGAGGACAGATTTTTTTTGCGCTGAGGATTATATCTGTTTCTTCCTTTGTCAAGTTAGAATACACAGCAGCAAAGTCCAGGGCAGTCGTAAATAGATCCTTCGAAATTGATGGGCAGTAATCCACGATATCGAACTGTATTAGGGTGCAATTCGGTTTATCATCAATATATATATATATATATATATATATATATATATATATATATATATGAAAGAAAAATACAGAAAAAACAAAAATCTGAATATGCAATTATGTAGTATTAATGTTAAAATAAAGTCGACGTCGGACGTTTCGGTCTATTTAAGACCATCTTCATGGACATTTTCATTTAAACATAATTAACATTAGAACTTATAAAAATTTAACACAAAAGACGATGGACATAAGAGCCCAACTGATCCAAACAGATAACTGAAATTTTATACAGATCAGCGTTCCGTTTAAATATGATCACGTAGTCGTCACGTGGGCGATGTTATTAAAACGTATTCGAAGATGATTTCCAAAAAATTAAAATATTAAAAAGTCGATTGAAAAATTTGTATAAACAGTTCAAGAAATCTCTTCCGTTGATGTCGGAATACGTAGTGATCAATAGGTTCTTATTTCTTCAACAAGCTTGAAGTCCTTCCCGTTACAAGGTATATATATATATATATATATATATATATATATATATTGCCGTGGATACTGGCATCTTGGCCGAGAGTTTGTGAGTACCGACCTTATTCAAATTAACCACTAATTTGAGGTCATTTTCGAGAGTAGTTACCAGTTTTACTTTATCGGACTTACTGGACTTGCTACTAAGGCAGAAGTAGATAGTTGTGTCACCAGCATAAATACCTATTTGGGAACTGATGACATCGAGAAGGTCATTGATGTAGATAACAGAATAAGTCCAAGCATAGAGCCCTGGGATACCCCCGCATGAATGGGAAATGAACTAGAAGCGTGTCCGTTCAATTGATCTTCATTACACGATTTTTTAAGAATGACTGGATTAAGCAAAATATTCGTTCGGAGACACCATAGCCCTTCAGCTTGTGGAGAAGGCCAACATGCCAAAATTCAGTAATAACCGATAAGACATGAAAGTGAAAGCCATACTTTTTGGTTGAAAGAAAGCCGTGTGAAGTGAAATGCTCACCAATTCGGCGTAGATTACAGCCACTAGGACACTGTCAAAAAGAGGTAAAAGATAAATAGGGCGATAATTCGAGGGATCACAATATTCACCAAATATATATATATATATATATATATATATGAAGAAAAATATATACGGAAAAAACAAAACAAAAATCCTTATATACAATTATGCTGTTTTAATGTTAATATGTCAACGTCTGACGTTTCAGTCTAATAAACCATCTTCACGACATATTCATAAATATAACATTATCAATACAACATGACAAAGACGATGTACATAAGAACAAGACTTATCCAAACAGAATAACTGAAAGTTTTATAAGATCAGCGCTCCGTTTAAAACATGGTCACGTTGTCGTCACGTGGGCGACGCTGTGAAAACGTATTCCTAAAATTTGAGTATTTTGAATGAAAAATGAAAAGAATTCTATTTTGAACTAAAATTTATATGTACGCTTGAAGATGGTTTATTAGACCGAAACGTCAGACGTTGACATATTAACATTAAAACAGCATAATTGTATATAAGGATTTTTTGTTTTGTTTTTTTCCGTATATATTTTTCTTCATACTGTCGGATCTATATCCATATATTTGCTTAAATATATATATATATATATATATATATATATATATATATATATATATATATAACAACTAAAAGTTGCAAATTAAAAAAAATAATAATGTTTTTTATGAAAGTATTTATTTATATTTGATATTTCAGATCGACCTCAGATCTTTCTTCAGAAATAACTGTTTTTAAAGGTTTGTTTACAAGTAGCGTCCGTCGCGAGATGCGGACGTCACGTGATATGGAACGTCACTGTGTTCGAATATTTTTAACGTAAATCTAACTGTAATAATATTTTAGATGTTGTTTAAAAAGAATTTTTTAACTATATCTAAAAAAAAGTTTAACTACTGAAATATTTATAAAGATTTAAAATATATTTATAAAATATTTATAAAGATTTAAAATATATTTATAAAGATTTAAAAAATTTTTAATTTGCAACTTTTAGTTGTTTTTCTATATATATACATATTAAGAAAGTATACGTGGCTTCTCATTATGCTCTCTCTCTCTCTCTCTCTATATATATATATATATATATATATATATATATATATATATATATATATATATATATAGAGAGAGAGAGAGAACTGATGGATTTTATATTTTATTAGACATCATTTCTTATTACTCTCAGCGTTATTTTTTGGGACACATATTATTATTTGCTATTACTTATCTGTTACTTCTTATTTGTTATGTGGTATTTCTTATTCTAAAAATATTTTTGAGAATATACATGAGTACATTTTTCTTTATTAAGTCTCAGGAATGCAGAAGCCGGCAGTTTTAATTCACACACGGCATTTACTCAAATATGTGTTTCCAAAAAATAACGTTTACAGCGCACAAACACACATATATATATATATATATATATATATATATATATATATATATAGTGGAGCTATCAGATTTTATTATTCTACTACAACCATTCCTACTCTGTCTATCTGTCACTCACTATCTCTCTCTGTCTTTTCTTTCTTTCTCTCTCTCTCTCTCTCTATATATATATATATATATATATATATATATATATATATGTGTGTGTGTGTGTATGTGTTTGTATAATCAAATATGTGGTGCAGTTTAATTATTTATTACAATGAATCATTAGTAAAGTTAATTATATAAAATGGCGAAATCCTTCACTAACAAAATTTTAAACATGCATTAACCTACTAATCACTCCATGAATATTATGGTCCTTGTTTTTTAAAATGATAAACTGTATTAGGTCTTTCTTAAATATTCAACTCCTTTCGACGGTTCCAAATAACGTTTAATGGATATATATATATATATATATATATATATATATATATATATATATATATATATATATATATATATATATTCATGAATTATTCATACAAAAACAAATACAAAGGTTAATGATTTAATTGGCGAGAAATCCATGGTCGCAAACAATTCAAATAATATACAAAAACCCCGAACCTTTTTATGAATGAAAAGAGACTTGTTTTTATAAATTTCTGTTGCATAAGTTCTTATTTTTACAAGGTTTCGTCTGTTCCTACAGACATCCTGAGGTATGGAATAGATTTTGTTCTTGTTTTTTACTCTCAGTAATAATATGTATTGTAATCCGAAAATATATTAGAAATGTTAATCATACATAAAATATATATCTATATATATAAATATATATATATATATATATATATATATATATATATATATATATATATATATATATATATATATATATATATATATATATATATATATATATATATATATATATATATATATATATATATATATATATATATATATATATATATATATATATATATATATATATATATATACATATACATATATATATTTATGATTAAATCGGAGAAATTTTCATATATATATATATATATATATATATATATATATATATAAAAAAGTTTCAAATTGAAAATTATAATGTTTTATTTTATGAAAGTATTTATTTATTTATATATATATTTGATATTTCAAATTGTCCTCAATTTTCATCAGAAATAACTGTTTGTTACAAATAAAATAAATAAAATATATATATATATATATATATATATATATATATAAAATATATGGGGAGGGTTATAGTAGTTCCAACGAGAGAAAAGTATATTAAAGAGAGAAACTGCAAACATTTTTGGTTGTGATGTGGATTTTTTTTTTAAATATTATGCTTTATTTTCCATAATGTTACTACACGAGTTTCTGGTCTCGCGACCGTCATCAGGTAAAGTGTGCAGATTTCCACATATTATTAAAAATAATTCATGTTTTTCTCCTTTTTTTTTTCGATGTTAAATATTCTCGATATGAGACATTCTCTTTTTTGGGGGTGTTAGTAATCCGAATGTCCTTCTTGAACTGGCAATCACTGCTAGTTCAAGAAAGACTTCGACGATATATATATATATATATATATATATATATATATTATCAATTAAACGTCATTTTTTGTGGATACCCATATTTGATTAGATACTAATTTATTTATTAAACCGTAAACTACGTTATTTTATTTTTGTCTACTCAAATATGAGTATCCACTAAAAATAACGTTTAAAGCGATTATATATATAAATATATATATATATATCGCTCTTCATTAATTTCTTGTTCTCACATTCAGGCCATCACACTCACTCTCCCCCACACATTCTCAATATATTTTTCTCTCTCTTACACTTTTTTCACCGTCTCTCTTTACCTCTCTGTCTCGTTTGCACACACTCAATCATACACACACACTCTCTCTAACGATGTTTCTCTCTTCCTCTCAGCCCATCACCGACTTACCGCTTTCTCTCTCTTCCTTTCTTTTTCAATCTTTAACATTGTCACTCACATTCGCATATACCCACACATACGCATACACACACGTTCTGTTTCTATTACGCGCGCACGCACACACACACACACACACACACACACACACACACACGTATTCAAATTTCACCGCTCCTTACATTCTTTTTCTCCCTCTCTCTTTTATCTCACGCACAAATACATACACATACGTTTGTCCACATACAAACACAATGTATATCTATGAATCTCCGCCAGTTCATATCTGTCTCCATCTGTTCATATCTATCTTCTGATAATATATAACTACCTCCACCTGTTCATATCTCTTCACCTGTTCATATCGATTTCCGTCTGTTCATATCTATCCGCGCCTGATCATATCTATCTATCTATCTATCTATCTATCTCCGTCTGTTCATATCTATCCCCGTCTGTTCATATCTTTCTATCTATCTATGTCTGTATCTCGAATCAACTACCTACATTTCGATCATTCGAAAGAAATAAAGAGATACATTTTCGTTGAGTACTTCCACTTTTTATTTTCTCGCTTAATTTTATTTTCTCAGAATTCCTTAAATAGGAGAATCGCGTGTTCCGTTATCTAAATCCTTCAATATTTAAATAATTCCTTATTTTCTCTCTCTCTCTCTCTCTCTCTCTCTCTCTCTCTCTCTCTCTCTCTCTCTCTCTCTCACTCGTTTATAACAGTCTTAAAGGCCCATATGATGCAGTTGTATGTTATAAATTGGTCACACAAGTTTTACTTTCACTTTCACTTTTTTGATAAATTACCGCCTTCACAACTTTTTTCTATCTTTCTCTTCTTTGTTCCCTAATTTACCTTCAATTTCCTCCGCTTTTTGCCTCTCTTTTTCTTCTGTCTGTCTATGTATTCTCTTAATACATAAGATTCAATAATATTATAATACATTATCATATTGTGTTTTTTCGTGAAACAATGAAAAACATTTCTTTATCAGACACGCCGATCTTGCCCCACTGTGCTTAACAATAGACTAAAACTGCAGAATAAAAAAGAATAAATTTTAATTTAAAAACCAAATAAATGAACAAGGGAAGATTTACAGATCAGCCATGAAGATCGGGTCAGCAAAGATCCGCAATTCTTAGCTAAACAGTTCGAGGTAGGCAACATCAGATTTCAGCAAAATATGCAGACGCACACAGACTGCTTGATCGACTGATTACATTTGAGATAGGCGATGGTCAATCAAGAACCCTACAGAATCTTTCAGCGTGCTTCCATTTTCGTCCGGCCAAAGCAATGCCTTAATTTGGTGACCACATTCATTGTTTTTTCGTTGTTTTTTTTTTTTTATTTCTTCTCACATGGTTACAGCCGAACCAAAATCCAAAAAGAGTTGCCGATTTAAAATGTGCGAAGCCGTGTTTCTCGCTGGTGCTGATTAGTAACACGTCTCTATTGATAGAGGACGCTACACACGTGACTATAGCCTACACTGTCGGCTTAGTTCTTTAAAGAGTCTCGTCACGTACATTTTCGCCTTCGAAAGCGAACGAGCGAGCCTCTTTCCTTCCCATATACAGCATTGGGCAACCATCTGTACATGGTGTCTCAGCTGAAGGACTATGCGCGCGGAATCACATCGCTAGTTAGTATTTGGCGATGTAAAGCTGAAAACTGACGGGCTCATCCCAACCAGCAAACAGTATTCACATTTTTTTTCCTTAATTCTTTGGATAATCCGGGTTAAAATTTACTCTTGGCAGCCGATTGATTCTTGGATATCACGGATCAATATTTATGACTAAGAACCTCATTAGAATATTCTCTCCTCTAGAAACCTCAAAGCAGTAGCTATTTAATTAAAAGCATTCGATCATTTGCATTTTCTTTTTAAATTGGCAGCGAATGACTATCTTTTCCCAGTTCTTAATTTCAGCAAGTATGTCTACCTAAAAATTTTCCAGTTATTTTTTAAATTTTTTCAGGAATAAGAAAATTTAGTTACAGGCAAAAACAGAATGTTGAACTGCTATGTAATATCAATCCTTCTAGATGTCAATAATTACTGGACATTTTCGTCGTAGGTGAAGAGGAAACTTGAGGCAATTGAGATTTGGTTCTTTTGTTTTTAAATCATTTCATCCCCAAGCAAGCTATAAAAGCCACTTAGACACAACAGGTTACAGAGTGTGAAAGAAATAAAGATAAAACTAAAAAAACAGTATTCAAGGAAAAAGATGACAATTAATATTTCACTTAAGTTTTTGAAGATCAAAGTTGACAGAAAGAAAGAAAGTGTGAAGATCGGGAAAAGAAACTGTTAGCATAGAACTTACGATTACATCTACTAATTTCAACAATAAAATACCTAGCTTCCAATCTAGCATTGCGCTTAAATTCATGCGATTGAGGTACGAAAAAAAAGAAAGCTCCTCAGAACAGTTACTATGAAAATACTTATAGAAACGGTACAGCGAAACTACTGGTGGTGAGAAAATGTCGGAAACAGAGATGCCAGTTTAGAACCGATAACATTGCCAGTTTAGTAACGATAACTTTGGATTTTTTTCAAGATTTCTATCGATATTCCAGAACCATCCAACCAGATGTGACAGCAATATTCGATGCACGGACAAATGGTAGACTTATAAATGTGTAAGATAGATATATTCTACAGAATTCTGAATATACCATAGACGAAACATGTGAGCAACGAGGATGTTTTAAGGAGTAACAAAAAGTTCACATGTACTTAGAATCATAAGGATACGGTTGAAATTTATGTGATATGTAATGAGGAAATAAGATTTGGAAATTTTTGACATACACATAGCTTACTAGGTATTTACTCTGTCTCTCCACTAAAACGAGTTGTGGCATACGGTCAGTTTTTAAGGTGGGGACACCCGAGCGCATTACTGTTATAGCATACTATAGGCAAGAAGGACAGAAGGTCAGTTTTGAAGGTGGGACACCTGAGCGCATTACTGTTATAGCATACTATAGGCAAGAAGGTCAGTTTTGAAGGTGGGACACCCGAGCGCATTACCGTTATAGCATACTATAGGCAAGAAGGTCAGTTTTGAAGGTGGGACACCCGAGCGCATTACCGTTATAGCATACTATAGGCAAGAAGGACAGAAGGTCAGTTTTTAAGGGGGGACACCCGAGCGCATTACCGTTATAGCATACTATAGGCAAGAAGGACAGAGGGTCAGTTTTTAAGGCGGGACACCTGAGCGCATTACTCTTATAGAATACTATAGGCAAGAAGGACAGAGGGAAATATTGAGTAACCTACCAAACGAGTTTGTGTAAATGGATGGCTGAACAAGTATTGGGAGGAATAGTGAAGGAATAATATTGATGAGAACTACAAAGAATGGGAAGTTGTGGAGTGCCATGACTGTCGACGCAGTGAAAGTATACGGCACATAAAAGAAGAATAATAAAAGATACGTATACGTATTATTCTGAAGGCCACAACACATAAAAGGAAATCAGCAATATGATATTAGGTAAATAAATCTAGCGAAAATCTAAGGGAGGTAATTCACTATTCAAAATTTGCTTCGGACATTAACATTGAGTGTAACTGATTTTTTTTACGTATTTTACATTCTTCTTTGCGTTTATTCAGTTTCCTTTTGGTGGTTGATATATCGTTGAAGTATTGCCTTTTTACAAGGTTTTGACAGATTCTTATAGGAAAGAGTTGTCTAACTTTGCTGAGAATCCATTTTCTGACTTTACTCAGAATAGAGAAAGTTGTCTACTTACATTTATTAATATTTGCAAATGCTTATTTAGACTATGTGATATCATGAATCTTATAAGTACAAAAGTGACAACACTATTTCTTTTTTAACCTAACACTAAAGTTTACTCTTTATTTTTCCTTTCGTGTATTTTTTCTTATTTGTCCTGTCACAGAAATGGCTATTCAAACTACAGCTCAAGCTAGATATACATGTAAACATACAATAGGATCCTTACCCAGCTTTTTCACCGACCGGCCAATGACATCCCCATGTTGCGTCTCCGTTCTCGCTCGTTCCAATCCGTGTACACCAAAAAACTGGGAATGTCCCATCGCCCGTTCACAATGTCACAATAAGCGAACACGAACGCCACGTCGAGAAATGAAATCTCTAACTGTAGGTGTTTTATTCAGGGGTTCATTTGCTCGATCTGCCTGGATAGATAGGTGACACCTGGGACAACTTCTGCTAGATCAACTAACTTTTCCCCACTACATGCGATTAGCAATGCGAACGAGGGGTATCGTAACTACACGGAGGACCGGTTTTCCTCCCGCTAAGGTCGAACCAGAACTGACTTCTTCGATCCCAACCGTGACTATCGATATAGACCAGTAACCTGAAACTCTCTATGTCCGGTTTGTTGTCACTTGACCCCAAATATTTTTCTTTATCTACTTTGTTCTCTTGTTCCTCTTCGATCAAGTTCATACCACTTCAAAAACCTCATCCGCTGGCCATAAAGCAATAACACTTGAGTTCGAGATAAGATACTTTCAACGTTTCACACACACGAACATTGCGACATAGTAATTATTTATCTTAAATGAAGTGTAAACTGATATTAATGATATTACTTCTATTAATTCATGTAAATTTTTATTCGTTAATTAAAAATTATATCAGTTTGTTTATTAATTGAAAATTATATTAATTTGTTTTCAATTTAAAATTATATCCGTTTGTCCTTTATTTAAAAGAAATGTTTTTATAAAACAAAATGTTTTTCTTCTTACGCAGAACAGCTAATTCCAATAACAGTGTAAAAAGTCAAGGATCGATTTTGCACTTTGTCGATATTATGAGCAGAATCGTCTTTTTAAAATGGTAACAAAGGAATTTTTTTCAGATTCTGATAAAGGTCCCAGACTAAGGAAGGTCTACGGAACGCTAATCTACAAAAATCGTTTCCCTAAAAAAAGTCCCTATTTTGTAGAAGTGGGTCAGTCTATTTGAACAGGAGTAGAGGTTTATCCCTTGTTTCCTTTATACGAGTGGGTTTCCAGTTCCTTCTAAAGCCTTCTCCTTCTCTTTCACTTCTGGTGGCCTCTTGCGTTTTAGAGACATTATCTTTTTGCTTGGGGTGGGGCCTCTTACTCTCTAACCCTCTACCTCGAGTGCTCTTAGGCCTTGTACAGAGTGTACATCATTGTAAAAAGTACATACGTTGATAATATTATGTTATTTCTAGCGAGAAGAATATGTTGCTTAGAATAAAGCCTATACACTTTTTTTTATCTGATATCGAAACAAAGTTCACTGAAACGTCTCGATATTCCAAATATATGTAATGTGTCTGACTCCAGATTACGCCAGAATAGGCTCTACACTCACTGTCCCTCAGAAATGCTAGGTGTGGGGTTAACCTGACAGATGACCTAGCCATCGATGGCCACCCACATCATCGGCCTAAATGTACCTGATATGTAAACGCGTGAGAAAATCCATATGAAACCCCGACATATGAGGTAGTCTCTCAGACATCGCAGACGA